TGTTAGGTCCATACCATTTCTGTCCTTTATTGAGCCCATCTTTGCATGAAATGTTCCCTTGGTATCTCTAATTTTCTTGAAGAGATCTCTAGTCTTTCCCATTCTATTGTTTTCCTCTATTTCTTTGCACTGATTACTGAGGAAGGATTTCTTATCTCTCCTTGCTATTCTTTGGAACTCTGCATTCAAATGGGTATATCTTTGCTCTTCTCCTTTGCTTTGGTAGCTGTTTTACACATATGTTTAAAAACAGGCCCATATGCTGTCCAACAAGCCACTGGTTATGTACATCTGTGGCTTTTCAGAGAAGTTTAGTCAAAGAAATTTGGGGGAATGTTCAGGATACATATGAACTACAAATCATGAAAGTCCTAAACCAGTGGAAGGGGAACCAGGGAGAGAACCAAGTAAAAGGATGTACAGTGTTCAGAAAGTAAAGTTTTCAGGTGTCAAATGCATAGCATTTATCCATTGGATTTAACAGTTTTGGAGAGGAGTCACCAACAGCAAGCCTTGCAGGATGGTGGGAAAGGAGGTGCCCCACAGCGTGATGGGAGCTCTCATGAGACAGCAAGTGATTGTTACTTTAAAAGGCGATAACTTGAGAAGGGTCACAGCAGTTTTTTGAAGACAGAGATGAACAGGGTTGAGGGGCAAGTGCTGAGTGTGGAGAAGGGATGACTGACAGCAGAGACCTGGAGGTGCGGACGCAGGAGACCAGAGCCTCTGCAGGTGACGCACCGCTACCTCTGACATCAGAGGGAAGCAGTGAGAAAGGACGGGTGGAGAAGGGCAGGGAGAGGAACCAGCTGGGACTCAGAACATCAGGGAAGGACCTGATGGCCCAGCACCCAAGGGAGCAGCATCACCTGACCCGAAGCGGCATGGGTTTTCTCTGTGGCAGTCAGCAGCCCTCAGGTGCAGAGAGAGGACTGCTGGTAAGATGAATCCAGGGTTGGCGTTGCCCCCAAAAGTGGTCTGGCTTGGCTTGAAAGAGGATTGAACAGTTCCTTGTGTGTAAATCACAGGCTGAAGCAGATAAAATTGCTGATATTTGACTGTATCTTACTTACGAAAACAATTTCATATGGTACAACCTAATAAGTGTTGACCTGACTGGCTAACTTTACAGCTAAAAAAGATGCACAGAGAACCATAATGATCATTAAGCCCTTAGCAACCTAACTAAAACTTTCAATGGGATAGGGCTAGATAAAGCAGAAACTCTCCCAAGAACAGAAAATACAGAATGGCTGCAATTATGTGTGCATATGGCAATGAATTTCCTTTAATCAAAGACAAACATGACAAATTCATTAACTATCAAAATCTACATTTTATTAAAAACAATCTCTTTAAAAATGTTTGATCATACAATATGTACAATACATGCTGCTTTCCTTTTTAGATGGGAGAATCCACGTGAGTCCTAAAAAACAAAGGAGGGAAAGAGCTGGTTAACAGTTTATAAATGGTAAATCAGAAGTTCATTTAAGATGCATAAAGGAAATCTACCAACCAGCCCCTCCTCAGTGAGGGCCCAGGTAAACCCACAGTATAGATCTTAAGTCAGTTCTCCTCTTCCCTTCAGTTACCTTGGAACAAAAGCAGCTCAAATAATTGAAGCATATATTAAGAGTTTACACTAAGTACTGAAAAGCTAATTTTAACTATCTAACTCAGAATCCCATTTTACAGATTTATAGAGAAGGAAAACAAAGCAGAGGAGGACTGACTTGCCTGACATTTTAAAAGGGCAGGGCCAACAGGATCCCATCTCCTGATCCCCACCCACAGCTGTGTGCAGTACAGAATACCAGGTCATTTCTCAGATTCCCTTCCCCATCTCCTTTGTAAAAATGGAGAATTATTTCGTAAGCAAAACTTAGGTTTCAGAAATGCCCATTACCAACATCATTCCAAGGTAGTTCTATCTTAATTTTCCTTTTCTACTTTGTCTGCATAAAGTAAGCAAACCTAATGGGACAGTGAGCAAAACTGATGGGAGGATTCAATGATCCATTATCTCATTTATCCATTTGTTGCAGGGGAGGGGAGAATGCCAAACCAAGAACAACCTCTGCTCTGTCTCTTTCAACTGCACATCTTAAGAACACCAAAGTAATCAATCCAAAGGTGGGAACTTGCAACCATTAGGTCAGGTTCTGCCCTTCTCACCAGTTACACACAATTTTAAGAATGGGGCCCTAGAGGGAAACAGAATGCAAATTTCACCAGAAGATGAAAGAGTGAGAAACTATAATAAATACATGCAGCTGTCCCATGGGAAACGTTACCTTCAGCTGGTGTCAAGCACTTAGCCTCTGCCGGCTCTGACTTGAAGAAATCACAGGCTCTGAGATCTCAAAGGTCCTCACAATCTCCTGGGAGGGAACAGAGAGCATGTGGGCATGGGCTTACAGCAAAGGAACTCCTGGGGACAGACTGCCCGGGGTGACATGCAGGCCTTTACCTCCCAGTCTCGGTAACTCAGAGCTATGACTCCTTGGTTCCTGATCTGAGTATTCTGGTCAATTCCTCCACTCTCTTCGTTAATATTAACAGGCTCTGTTTGAGAGGCAAAGTTTTCAAATCAGAGGAGGTGATCTGAACAGAAACCAATGAATAATAGGAATGACACTGTACCAAGCAGATGTTTAGAATATTATATCCTTATTAGGAATTCATGCATTAGTGTTGTACTGCTAGAAAAGAAAGTAACCCCGCTTGCTTCCATTAAAAAAAAAATACATATGGTAAAATAACACATTCCAATCATTTGAAAAACTCTGCATATCTATGAACCAAACACAGACCTAAGGTCTAGTGCGTCCAGTATGAAAGTAAGAACTTTTACAGGAATAGGTAAATGCAATGAAAACACTTCATTCTGTACAGGAGGTCTTACAAGGCAAAGAGTAATGGAGAATGTGAATCATTCAACAAAATTAAGATTCTCTCTGTATTAACCATGGTCTTTAATATTTACTGACATTTGTAAATTGTATAGCAGTGTCCTTTTTTGACATCAATTTTCTAACTGTGAGAGAGATTTAAATGAAACTTGTAAATAAAAGAGGCAAAAAAATAAGAAAAAAAAATTCTCTGGAGAGGAGGAGCTGGCATTAGGGATAAAATAGAAAGAAGGAAACTACAAAAATAACTGCAATTACAGACTTTCTAAATTAAAATTTAAGGGAAACTATACCATTTCTTATTATTCTTCACAGCAATAGCTGTTGAATCAAGGACAGAATTGAATCCATCAGTTTTAAACTATGATCAAGTTTTCAGTATTTTCAGTTAGTTGAGGAAGACATTGTAAAAGTTTGTTGCCTAAAATAAAAACTCAATTTACATTTAATAAAATACATTTCACACCCTCCAGTAACAAATACATTTTCTTTAAAACTAACTTTTCTGGACATAGAATCATTTACCTATTATTGGCAGTCGGTCTTGGTCAAGTCTTATTCTTGCAAAACCATCCTGTAACACAAAGACTAAAATTTAGATTCAAAACCTACAGCCATTGGATGAAAAAATTACTCAATGAGAAAATTCTAAATCTTAGACAATCAAAATATACCATAACAATAACAAGGAGTAAAAAAAAAAAAACAATAACAAGGAGTGTATACAGACAAGCCTTCTCTAACATTTCTCTCTACATGGGGTATCTTTCAGGTTTTAATCAGCTCGCTTACCCAGGCACAACCTCATCCCCAAGATCTCTTAAATAAAACTACAACCATCTTGACTCTTTGACTGACTCATACTTTTTGAGTACTCCACATTTTATTATTATGATTATTTTTTTGGCTGAGCCATGCAGCTGGTGGGATCTTAGGTCCCCACCAGGGACTGAACCCAGGCCCTCAGCAGTGAGAGCGAGGAGTCCCAACCACTGGACCGCCAAGGAGTTCCTGAATACAACACATTTTATGATGCATAATACTATCACTGACCGTTGACAGAATATGCTTTAGTTATCATTTCTGAAAAAATACTTTTGTCAACACAAGATTTTCTGCCTAAGGTTAAAATCGAATTCATCTTAGAAGTGCAGGATTGCAACCGGACATAAGACTAAAGACAGCCTAGAGAAAATTCTCAAGGTACATTTCTGAGAATTTTTCTTTTTTTTTCTCCTAAACCATCTGTTTTGAAATTAGTTCAAACTTAAGAGTTACAAGACTACTGTAAAGACCACCCATACATTCGTTTCTCTCTGTCCATGTTTTGCCATATTTACATCGCTGCTCTCTCTCTCTCTCAAAGTGAAAGCGTAGTCACTCGGTAGTATCCGACTCTTCGCAGCCTCATGGACTGGCTTCTCTGTCCACGGAGTTCTCCAGGCAAGGATACTGGGGTGGTTTGCCATTTCCGTCTCCAAGGGATCTTCCAAACCAGGGATTAAACCTGCATCTCTTGCATCTCCAAAACCGGCAGGCGAATTCTTTACCACTGTGCCACCTGGGAAGCCCTTTTCTCTACAACTTTGGTGTGTATTTCTTGAAAACAAGGGTATTTTCTTACATAACAACTAACAAAATTGGGAAATTTAACATTTATATCACATAGTTACCTAATCTGTAAGCTCCAAAAATTTCTAAAATGTAAAAGCAAGCACTGAATTTTTTAGCTAGTTTCTTTGGCCTGTGACTAGTCAGTGTTTTGCTACAATGGGTCTAAAACACACACTGGTTAGTGCAAATTCCTTAGCCACCTCCCATCTATACCCGTTATTATTTACTCTCTTAAAAGCAAAGAGAAACAGAGAAATAATCTTAAATCTTACCCTTATAATAAAAGAAACATGAAAGATGTTTTCCACTGTCCGGGGGAAAGAATGTGGGTCAACCACAAAGTCAAAGAAGGACATGGGAGTATCAGCTGAAGACAAAAGAGGAAAAAAATCCTTCAGTGGAGGAAAAATTACTCTCGCCTACCAATCAAGACCAGTATTCTCTAGTGTTAACCAGAGAAAGGAAATGGGCATTCATCCTGTTGTGGGATGGAAATCAATACAACCCTGCTGGAGGACAATCTGGTATATCTATTAAAAATCTGCATGCCCCCTTCCCTGGCAATCCTCCTTTAAAAAGCCGTTCTACAGAAATCCTCGCACAAAGTTGTGTGCCCAGATTTTTCAGTCCAGCAGTTTGTACAAGAGAAAAATGCTATAAAGAACTTGCCCACTAATAGAGGATTTGTTAAATGTATGATACAGTCACCCAATGGGAATCACGAAAAAGAGTAAGCAGGATCTGCATGTATCAATATGGGAAAATGTCCAAGTGGACGAGTCATGTTGCAGAAGAATGTGTGAATTATTTTTTTTTGAAAAAAGCAAAACACCACCACCACTAACAAAAAAAAAAAAAATCCCAACTACTTAGTTGCATATTTATTATGACTGACATAGACGTAGGAAAGTCTGAAAATACACATATCACATTTTATACGTGGTGACCTCGAGGGAGTGAGGTCAGGTAGAACAGGTACTTGACTTTTTACTTTTCTCACGTCTTTGGCATGTATTATTTTGTAACAGAAAAAATAACCCCCCCCCCCCAAAAAAATCCCATCTTTGAAAAATAAAAAGGAGAATTTCCTTCACCAATGTTCTCATGGGATTTCTAGAGAGAAGTCTCATAAAAGACATGTCAAGAAAAATCAAAATGATTCAAGCATTACACATATGCCTTTTAAATAAAAATAGCTTCTCACTGCAAATGACACGAGCCTAACTGACAAATACAGATTGCTCCATTTTGAGCTTGGTATCATACTTACGATCTTCTTGAAAGTATGTCTGCAACAATCCCAAGATTCTTTCTACTTCTTTTTCTGTTGCTTCTTGATGAGACTCTTCCATTCTTTTTAACTGGAAACATAAAGCTGTTATCAAGCAGACTGACCTGCTTGCCTGCCTGTTAACCTTTCCTGCTCTCTTCCCGGCCAAACTCCTCTAAATATCTTTTACTTAGGATTTCTAAGTTTTTATTCCTGTCTTAAAATTAATAGTTAAAAAAGATTTTTCTAGGTCTAGTAACATTTTCATATGCATTATCTAGTAGAGGAATAACAGTAACAAATCAATCATTTTCAGGTTGAATGTAAAATAGCAAATTATAAAAAGGGCAGTTTAGAACAGTGGTTCTCACCAGGGAGTGATTTTTCTGCAGCCCCTTCCCCACCCCACCGATGGGACATTTTCTAACACTTGATTGTCATACTTGGGATGGGAGGGAAAACTACAAGAGGAGGCTGTTAGCATCTAGTGGGAAGAGGCCAAGGATGCTACTAAACATCCTATAATACACAGGGAGCCTCTCACAGTGAAGAATTATCCAGCCCCAAATGCCGATAGTGCCTGAGTTAAGAAACCTGTTTTGGGAGAACTAATCCATACTACAGAAATGAGTTAAGAACTAAGACATGTGGTCAATCCAATAAAATGTTTAAAGACTTAAACACATCAAAAATGATTCAAACATTAAATGATTACTTTTTAAGTGACAGAACCTGACTCCAGACCCAAAAGCTGAGCAAAGATGGCTAAATTACATGCATATGATACTAATGGCTATTTTAAATTAAGTGTTTAAAAAAGCAACATTTGAACAAACAAACCTGGGCAGGCATTGCCTGCTGCTCTTGTATCATACGAGCTTTTCTTGGACGTTCAATTCGTGGCTTTGGCACAGGGCACTCTCCTTGTATTGAACCCAACCTAATGAAAAATATGCTTTCATGTCTTTGTTTTTAAAACAAACTGATCTCACTAACTGAAAGCAGTTCCCACAGCATCCTCAAATTCAGACCAGCCATCAGTGGTGTACGAGTGACCTCAGACCAAGACTGTCGGGTTTGTGACAGCCTTTCTGCTCCTTCTGTGTTTCTCAAAGAATTCAGCCAGGTTCCTCCTCAACAGCTTTATATTTTACTCTCAACAGTCAGTCAGTCAATGCCTGTGGTCCTCCCAGCTAGCCTGTTGTCTGTTTCGCAGAGCCAGCTTCAGAGATCAGGGGAAGGACGAACGTGTGTGGGGGATGGGGATGAACAGCCCCACTGGGGTTGAAAAAGCCTCTTGGTCTGGGGGTGCCAGAGCAGAGCCCCACTGCCTGGGACTCCAGAACACACCTGTCTTAAGAGACAACAGGTAAGGCAGAGGCCATGGGATTCCTGTCCCTTTTGGGCTCCCTCCACCTCCACCTCCCAAAAAAGCCCTATAGTAACAGACATACCAGGGCCCAGGGAATTTAGTCCCCTGTGGTCCCTACACCGGAGGAAATCAAAGTGTACTGGAGAGATCCTATGTGTGTGCTAAGTCGCTTCAGTCGTGTCTGACTCTTTGCAACCCTGTGGGCTGTAGCCCTCCAGGCTCCTCTGTCCATGGGATTCTCCAGGCAAGAAGACTGGAGTGGGTTGTGGTGCCCTCCTCCAGGGGATCTTCCAGACCCAGGATCGAACCCGAGTCTCTTACATCTCCTGCATTAGCAGGCGGCTTCTTTACCACTAAGGTGAACTGAGAAGCCCAAGCAAACCTCACCAGATGGAAAGAAAACATGGGGGAAAGGCCACTGCAGGCCAAGGCAACAGCAAGTACAAGGCTGTAAAGTTGTGAGTAAATCCCTGCGGCCGCAAATTGGGCTAGATGATGACAAAGGGTTTAAGTTATGCAACCCAAGGCTATCTTTCTTTCATTTTTTTGGACATGCCCCGAGGCTTCAGGGATCTTAGTTCCCCGACCAGGGACTGAACCCACACCCTCAGCAGTGTGAGCTCGGAGTCCTAACCACTGGGCCACCAGGGAATTCCCAAAAGGCTATCTTTAGATCCTACATTTATGGTGGAGCCTAATTCAACAGCAAAAAAAAAAAAAAAAGATTTAGACTTTTCCTATAATAAAGAAGTTTGATCTTTTTGCTGTAATATACAGTGATTCTGGGCACTTGAATTAAGGGAAGTCTTGTTAAAAATAGATGCCTTGGGAAATAGGAAAAAAACCCAGATGCCTGGTCCCACACCATAGACTTACTAAATCTGCATCTCCAAAGCCTTCTAACTGAGGCACTACCAATCTCAGGAGGTTTAGAAGGGCAATCAGAAAAGACATGCCCTAAGTTATCCACTTAAGGAAGAAACCACTTGAGTGGTTGCCCTGGAGAAATTATCTACTGGGTATTTTATTTTTATTTATTTATTTTTTCTACTGGGTATTTTAAAGGCTGTCTTACAAAAGAACCAGTAAGAGTTGCTCTTAGCCTCTCAGTAAGACTGAGCTAGGAAATTAAGACAGAAGCCAATTCCATTTGAGTATAAAGAAAAGCTTTTCAAAATCAAAGCTGTATCCAAAAAAGATGAACTGGGCAGTTTATGTGACAGTGACTCAACTAGTCTTCAAATATAGGACAGCAATCATCTAACAGGGAATTATATATAATAAATGGCACTTTACATATATTGGTAGAATCTTAAGATACCTTTCATAGGAGGTATCATCCTCCTATGTAATAAGGACTTTTAAAGATGATGAAGCCAGACATGATGTCACAGACCTAAAGTCTCCAACACTAGAAAGCAAAGGTGCCAGCAGAGTGCCCTGATAAGGAGGTGCCAGCCCACGGCCTTTCCTGCCTTAGTTAAGCAGGATGAGGATCCATCCACAAGATATTACGGGCTTCTAAATCAACCTTTGGAAAGTCTCCGAGCGATGGCATCATGACTGTCTCCTCTACAATACCAAATAATTGTTGTCCCTACAATAAAATACAATTTAAGCTTTACAAATGGCTGGTCTGTTGGATTTTCAAAATAATCTTACAGAAAGTGGAATGTATGGGTTTTATTAAAGGTGTTTTCTGCTGTTTTGCCTGATATTTTCCAGGAGTCATAGACTATGAATTCAAAATCAGAACTATCTTCATCACGGATGAGTTCTTCAGCTTCTAGCGGATTTACACCCATATGAGTCAGCTACAAAAATGAAGGGAAACAGAAACCCCAGTTAAGCCACAAGCAATCATTCACGGTACTCAATCATCTCTATCACTACACAACAGGCCAGAGGCAAAGTCTGTTTTCAGTGTCCTAACATGTTGGCTTAATGTCTTATTACAAATTTCCTGTTTTCAAAGGCACCTTCTTTTTGGCAGAAACTATTCTTTAAGGTACTCAGGACTTTTTGGTGAGAAAGTGAGATGATCCAGACCAACGGATCTCAACCAGAGCAATTTTAAGCACACCGCCACCCCCACCCCCACCCCCACCCTGCCAGGCATTCTATCTGGAGACACTTGATCGTCACAATTGGGTGGGTGGCAGGGCGGGCCATGTTTCTGGCATTTAGTAGGTAGAAGCCAGGATAGTGCTCAACATCCTATAGCAGGCGCCCCCCACAACAAAGACTTAACCAGCCCAAAACGCCCTTAGTGCTGAGGCTGAGAAACCCTGCTCTAGCCCCCTGCAGGCCAAGGGGCTGGCATACCAGAACTGAGCTCGCTAGGCCCGATCACACACAACTATTAGCAGAAAAATAGGAAATCACATCCCTAAGCAAATGCTGTGGGATAGAACTGGGAAGTTTAGCTGGCTTTCAATTTTCATTTCCAGCCAACCTCCTGGAGACCCCTGATCAGATTGCAGATCAGGTTTTCCAGGGAGCAGCACCTGGCATCAGGGAGAGATTCACTCATCTTAAAGCTGACTTCCTGGGAAGAGTTGGCGGAAGTCTAATAATTCTCTTATCTCAAGCTATCTTGCAGAAAGTGTATTAAATTTGCTTTTATGAAAGTACATTTTTATTACATTATAAATTATGAAATGCCTAGAAGTTATCAAATTAAAACAGCAATACCATATATAAACAGTAATCAAAAAGTCCTCAGAGAGCTTAACTCTTTAAAGGCAGTAAAACTTTGAAGAAAAGAGAGGCTGCCAGAACCCAGTCAGAGAGACAAAGTCAGCTCTGTTCCATTCTCCTGCCAACCGTTCTACCACTGCATACTTGGAAGAAGACATTTCAGTTTTTATCTGGTCAAATCTACCAATTTTTTCTTTATAGTCCTTATATTTGGTGTAATACTTGAAAAAAATCCTCCCGCCAGAGTCTAGACAGCTATTAAATTGAGGGTCTGCATGGACTGCTTAAAGACTTACAGAATTTACTGATATGTTACTTAAAGTACAAAGTTCACCCTGATAAATAAAAGTAATTTTTAAAAAGATTACCCAATATATAGTCAACTTTATTTATTGAGCATTTTCCAAAATGCACTATACTTCAAGTTTTAAAAAAAGAAAAATTTAAGGTTTTAAATTTAAGTTAAATTTTTTTTTTTTGGTAAGTTAAATTTTTTAAAACATCTAAGGTTTTGAAAAAAACAAAAACCTCATCTGCCTCATACCTTTACAAAATAATTTATCTGTTCAGGTCTTATGGTACTAAATCATTTTAATAACCTTTTAACAAACAGAAAGTCAGTGTCCTAACAGAAATGCTAGGACAGAAGCTGGCTCAAAGTAAAACCAAGATAAAAAAAAAAAAACAAGAGTAAAATACAAAGTTCATCTCATTGTGCTTTTTTGGGGGTAAATTCATCAAGCAAACGTTTCAAAATTTCAGGGAACCGCCATTCAAATATTAAGAGGCAAAGACAGTTGAATAAAACAACAACAAAAAACAAAAGCAGAACCCCAGTCATATTCGTATGGTTCTGAAATATTCTCAAAGACAAATCAAAACATGCCCCTACACCAGACTTTACTCATATCCAGCTGCATTTTGCCTGCCTGGGGCTTCTGCCCAGCCTCGGACAAAGGTCCTGGGTCACTGAGAATGAACCCATGAACTGACAACTGAGTGAGGGGAAAAATCGCCATTTGAAATACACATAGCACCCTGAGTCTTAGAAAGCTAGGAGATTTTCAAGCTGCTCTAAACTCCCAATCTAGATTCTACCACATAGTTCAACTGTCATGTGTTTAATTTGGTAAGATCTCTCTGGAGGAATCTCAGGCCCAAACAAAAGGGAAAATGAAGTGAAAACCATCTGTATATGGATATAAGCAAAGTGGATAATTATACAATATGTGACAGATGAAACATTTTTTATTATGATTCTATAGCTTTGAACTTACTAGAGTTTCTACATATCTTAACATATCAAACGAGTTCAGATCAGAACGCAGCTGCTTTGCCTTTTCTTTGCCCAAATCTGAAGCCAGAACAAGAAAGTGGGCATCTAGGACTGCTTCTCTTGCTCGGGACACTATTCAAAAAAGAAGAAAAAGACACACGTTACAACATACATGTTTATCCACAGGCATTTTCCCAAAACTTTCAACTGCACTTACTCCCCATTTCCCATTGGACCAAAAAAAAATCTCAAACACACTAATCTCTGTCTAAAAACAGGTTCCCCTGCTCAGCTCACCAAAATCTGAAATCAAAGCTGACCAGTCTTCCTAAAAAGTCAGCTCTCTCTACCACAGTTCCTGCTTCTGGGAACTGAATAAAAATCTCTTCGTTAACCACAGTTTAACAAAACTGCCACCATCTCTAACACTGGCTGTTCCCTTGGACTCCAGTAACGCATCTAGGCACTATTAACACCTGTGTTGATGATGGAAGCCAAGCTGAATGCCCACAGTGTGTAAGGCGCTGTGCTTGGGCATGGAGGTTTGCAGACCGGTAATAGGTAAGTGGTCAAGGAGCTTCAGGTGAAATTCCATGCTGGGCAGGTAGCAGGAGATGCAAACTCAGCCTAGCAGCACAAGTCCCACGGAATGAACAGCCTACAGGCAGCAGGGCCATAAACTCTGTAAGGATGGATGGTCCAAAAATGTTCATCTTTGAACGTTTAAGATAAGCTACAGACAGAAAAGGATTTAAATAAAAGGAGACAAGAAACGGGGCAAGGAAACTGAGGATGAGGTTTGGGGAGGTGGGGGGAAGGGTTCATTGGAGGAAGACACAGCAGGACTGAGGGGAATGGGTTTGATCAGACCCCAAAAGGGAACAGGCAGTGTGGAAACATACTCCAGGAACACCAGCAAAGGCGAACTGAAAAGGCAGCCAAGAGACAAACCCGGTAGAGTTCAAACACAAATCCCTCTGCCTGGCTTGCTCCTCAAGGCCATTTCATTTGAATTTCTGATTGCCCAAAGTTTTGTATTTATATGCATAATTTTCTCCCCAGTTTTATTTCAGGAGAATTACTGTGAATGTGACAATGAATGAGAGAAAAGGCAAAAGCTAAGGAGTAGTTCCTCGACTGTTCTAGACCTCCCCTCCCCGCCACTGGCGCGTCCCTGCCATGCAAACTGTAAGAAAAGTGCCAACCTCCCACGGATGGATTCAAGCCTCTGGAGAGTTACAGAACATCCAATCTGTATATATGGCGGATACAGAATTCTTTGTTGGCTGACCGTCTCCTAGGGCCAGGTTGAGCGAGTAACCGTGCCTTAAAGAGGCGACCCAGCCAGCACAGTGGAATCAGCCAAGCAGGAAATGATCTGTTAATCAACAACTTTACAGCGGTGGGTGAATAATAAGGGGACAAGGGGTCAAGAGCAACCCTGAAGAGACAGCCTGGGGGTCCAAGCTCAGAAGAGAAGAAAAAGCTAGAGAGAGTGGAGGAGGGATTGCACCAGGTGAAAAGAAAGAAATGTTCTGGTCCTCAGAGAACACGTGGAGTGGTGGTGTCCAGGCAGCGGCCAGCTCTGTTGACTTCTCCACCTGCATGGGTCTGCACTCTCCCTTTCTGCTCCCACAGAATTTAGAGAAAGGCCAGGAGGGAAAAGTGGGCTGAGGACTTGTCCCGGGCTCCGTGACCCAGTGCCCACACCATCAGGGGCATGCCTGACCTGTCCTGTCTTCAAACACAGAGACCACTCTTAGCACTAACACTGCTGCTGCTTTTCATTCAAACCAAGCTTTTATTTCAGAGCCCCCTTCGCCCCCCCACAGTGGTCTAGAGATCAGCGCTGAGATTCTTCTCTCTTTCTCTTTCTCTCTCTCTCTCTCTCTCTCTCTCTCTCTCTCTCTCTCTCTCTCTCTCTCGGGCCCCTCCCCTCACTGGAGACCAGTAGGGCCACCTGGAGACAGGGCCATCCCCACTGGGTTACACCAGGTGGACCAAGAGCAAGGAGCTTAGGGACGGAGGTCGGGAGGAAGGCAGGAAAAGAAACAGGATGTCAGAAGCCAGCTCAGTTCTTTCTTTAATACATCCAGTGCATCCTGGGTAGTCAATAGGGTAGAAAGATAAGACATCAAAGTTCTCAGCAGTCAATACAGTAGAAAGATACTACCCAGAAGGTTCTCAAACTTGAACATGCCACGGAATCACCTGGGGCGCTTGTTAAAATTGGCTGCTGCTCCCCACCCCCATCCCAAACTTCACGTAAAGCCCTTCCTACCTGTTTAGGGGCTGATAAGTGCACCATGAAAGTAGTAGTGGTGCTACAAGGAAAAAGATTCCAAAACTAGTAAAGCACTCATAAATAAATATGGGGGTTGTCTGTGTCAAGCATTCGGTTCTCATGCAAAACTAATTAAAATTACCCTAAAATATATGATCACAGAAAGCTTCCTTTCATAAAATAATGAATTACCTCCATTAAAGAGATTGTTGGCCTCTTCAAGGACCTCTGTTAACTTGTCGCTGGCATTCAATATATCCTCCCGGTTTTCTATTTTAAAAAAATACAAGCTTTGGGAAAGGTGCTCATCATAGGCTATCAAGTCATTAATAAAGTGACCAGCTGCATCTGGAGAGCCAAGTCCCCGCCCTCATCCCTACCCCCACCCCCGCTCCCCGGGGGAATTGCTTTCAAGCTGTATCTCTTCAACCAAAACGGCCTGAAAACAGAAAAGATGACTGTACCCCTTTAGGAGAATGAACTTGAAAAGGGGACCCACTTCGCTCCCCCTAACCTTCACCCATGAGCTTCCACGCCTTCTGCAGCCTCTGAGGACGCTCTTAATAGAAGGGTTCTCCAACTCTGCAAGCCACAGCTTGCAGAGCTGGGCCACCCAGAGTTTCAGAATTGGTAGGTCCAGGGTGCATTGGAGAATCTGCATTTCTAGCAGCTGCCGCGGGCGGGCGACTGCCGGCGGGGAACCGCTGGATGTAAGAAAATGCGCCCCGGCTCCGCTTGCCTCCTCTCCCCCGCTTCTAGACAGCGCCCGGCTTTGGGCGGTCGCGCCCCCGCCAAGGTCGTGCGGTGTGATCAGCACGACCGACGCGCTAGCGCCTCGCAAACCCCGAATCCGGGCGCGGCCGGGCGGCACGGGGCTGGTCCTGGGCGCAGCGAACCAGCCGGGCCGCGCAGGGCCTGCGCGCGGTTCCCGCCTCGCACTCCCGCCTTACGTTGGACCGAGTTGATGAGCGCCCGGTACTGATGGCGGATCTGGCGGCAGAGGCTGGGGTCGGTCTCCTCCTCCAAGCTCGCCGGGTCTATCATCTCGTCCCCGGAATCCGACGGCTCGGTATCCTCCAAGCCCGGGCGCTCCGGGGCCTCCCTGCGCTCGGGCGCGGCGCCGCGGCGGGACCCGGGCGACAGCGGGGACCGCGAGCGGGAGCGGGAGCGGGTGCGATCCCGGTGCGGATCGCGGCCCCGGCCCCGGCCCTCGGGCCGGCGGCCGCTGCTGTCTCCGGACATCGCGCGAAGCCTCCCAGCAACTTCGGAACGGCGGAAGTTCGCGCCAGAAACTGAAACCCCTGCACACCACGAGCGCCTGCTCCCCGCGGAACGCGGCTCCCGTGCCCGCGCGAGCGCACAGCGACGCCTGTGGCTGGAGGCCCGCGGCAGGGAGAGTGGCCCGGGGTGCGGTGGTGACAGCGCCGCCAGGCGGGCACCGGGCGGCTCAACCCCCTGACCTTGCGCGCCCCTGACGTTGGATACCCTGTGATTCCACTTTAGGTGCTTAGAATCTTCGTGGTCTGGTCCTCCGTGCCCACCCCATTAGACTTTCACCTTCCCCGGGGTCTCACTGGCTCTCCCGAACACAGCCACACCCTTAAAACGAATACATAGCATTCTTCCAGGTGGAAATTCATTCCAAGCTCCAGACAGAAATATCTGGGACATTGCCAGGTCATGGGTTCACAGACCATGTTTGTTGATCGAGTCTCCTGCAGTTAAGCAGGATGAGCGCTGGATCTGGAGACGAGAGATGAGATTCTGCCACTCACTGTCTGTGACCTTAGTTCCTTGAGCCATTATGGCCGGTACCCAATGGAGTTTATGAACAGCAGGTAATCTCACTTTTTTTGGTTTTTTTGAAAGTGAAAAAGTGTTAAGTCACTCAGTCTTGTCCAACTCTTTATGACTCCATGGACAGACTCCAGTAGCCTACCAGGCTCCTCTGTCCATGGAATTCTCCAGGCAAGAATACTGGAGTGGGTTACCATTCGCTTCTCCAAGGGATCTTCCTAACCCCCATCTCCTGCGTTGTGGGCAGATTCTTTATCCTCTGAGTTATTTATTTTTGACTGCACTGGGTCCTTGCCAGGTGGGCAGGCTTTCTCTAGTTGCCGCCAGTGGGGAGCTAGTCACTAGTTGTGGTGCTTGGGCTTCTCATTGCCGTGGCTTCCTTGTTCTGGAGCATGGGCTATAGATTTCTGGGCTCAGTTGTGGCACAGGGGTTTGGTTGCCCTGTGGCATGTGGGATCCTCCCAGACCAGGGATGGAACCTGTGTCCCCTGCATTAGCAGATGAATTCTTAACCACTGGACCACCAGGGAAGCCCCAATCCCACCTTTTTTGAGGACAGAACAAATGAACAAACAGAAAATTGACAAGGTTCCTTGATTTTCTTGGAGTAAACTCTGTTAACCATCATTTTTAAATATCTACACCTTGACAGTTTATGTTCATATTTGGTCCTCAAACTGAAAGATTCTAAAATACTTTTGAATGAGTCTAAAAACAATGAAATTATATTCATACAGTTTTAAAGATAAGTATTTGAATTTCCATGTATTTTGGATTGTACTGCAAATGTTTTTCAGGAGTTCTCTTTGGTGCTGAGAACCCATTTTATTTTTTCAAAGGAACAATGTCAGCTGAGTTACTACCTAAGTCTACAAAAATGCCATGTTGTGAATCAGATATACTCGGTTTGAGGTAAGCACTATTCTTTGAAGCCTATATCACACCTCACTCCTGCTTAACCTGGATTTCAGGAAAGGTATGCCCTGAAATGAATCATGGTAATCTCATCCCCATTCCCCAAAGACCAGGCTGGGGATAGGACATGATTCAGTTCTGGACAGTGATATGGGAGGCAGCTTCACATTTGGATCACTCACAAAGCCTGCAGAAAAGAAAGTCTTTATCACCATCCTCACTCTTCTTCATGATGCTGGCATGAGGAAATGGAGTCTGGCATGATGGCAACCATCTATCTACTACTGATGAGAGGACAAGCATGAGAAAAGACCAGAATATTGGGAACACTGGAGGGCAAGGACAGACATAGACGTGACTGAATTGCTGAGTGTCTTGGAGTCTGCCTACCTTCAGACTCCTTGTTGAGTTAAAGTGTTAGTTGCTTAGTCATGTATGACTCTGTGGAACCCCACGGACTGTAGCCCACCAGGCTTCTCTGTCCATAGACCTCCAGGCAAGAATACTGGAGAGGGTTGCCATTTCCTTCTAAAGGGGATCTTCCTGACCCAGGGATTGAACCCGGGTCTCCAGCATCTCAGGCAGATTCTTTACACTCCGAGCCACCGGGGAAGCCCCCGGGGAAGCCCCCAGGAAGCCACAAATATCCTGTGATTTAGGCCATTGTTAACTGTTTTGTACTTGCTACTTGCAGCTCAGTGCGTTGGAACTGAAACGAATACCTAACATTATTTCCAGGTGGAAATTCCCTCTATACTCAAGATAAAAATCCCTATAATATTTCATTGAGCTCAACAGCTGTTGATGTGTACTAATGGGCCACACATGCAACAAATCAAGCAGGTCATGAAGATGACTCCAAGACATGCCTTGCCTTCTAGGGTCTCACCAGGAGACAGATGTGAAACTGATCCTAAAACTCATGTAGAAATGCATGGGACCCACAGTAGCCAAAATAACCTTGAAAAAGAAAGACCAAGTTGGAAGGATGCACGCTTAATTCCAAAATTTACTACAAAGCTATAGTAACTAAGACTGTGATGTTGTCATTAAGATAGACATAAAGATCAGTAGAACAGAATTTAAAGTTCAGAAATCAACCCATACATCAACGTGTGCATGCATGTGTATGTTCAGTCATGTCCAACTCTTTGCAACCCCGTGGACAGTAGCCTGCCAGGCTCCTCTGTCCTTGGGATTTCCCAGGCAAGAATATTGGAGCAGGTTGCCATGTCCTTCTCCAGGGGATTTCCCTACCCAAGGGCGTGAACCCGAGTCTCTTTCATCTCCTACATTGGCAGGCAAGTTCTTTACCACTGAGCCCCCTGGAAAGCCTGTCATACATGCATGGTCAACTGATTTTCTACAAAAGTACCAAGATAATTCAATGAAGTATGTAAATACTATATAAATAGCTTTACATACAATGTAAGTGTTACCTAAGTGTTGCCAGTGCTTGGCAAATTCAAATTTTACCTTTTGGAACTTCCCAGAGAAAAAAGAAATTTTTCCAAAATATTTTTTATCCTTGGTTGATTGAATCCATGAATGCAGAAACCTCTGATCTGAGGACTGATGGTATACTGTTAATACTTGCTTACCTGGAGTAGGAATAAGAAAAGAAACAGGTTATTAAATCTGTACTGCTTCAGTGATATGTTAATTGTATCATTTTGGAAGAGAAATTAAACTTTAAAATATTAATTTTCAATCTGTACTGTGGAACAATAAGTACAAATTAGTAATCAAAAAGTGCAAATCAACATTTTCAAGGATATAGGAGTTTAAGGGCCTCAAGGTCTAAATATGGTTGTCTATTAACCTCCTCCGGAGAAGGCAGTGGCACCCCACTCCAGTACTCTTGCCTGGAAAATCCCATGGATGGAGGAGCCTGGTAGGCTGCAGTCCACCGGGTTGCTAAGAGTCAGACAGGAATGAGTGACTTCACTTTCACTTTCACTTTTCACTTTCATGCATTGGGGAAGGAAATGGCAACCCACTCCAGTGTTCCTGCCTGGAGAATCCCAGGGACGGGTGAACCCGATGGGCTGCCGTCTATGGGGTCGCACAGAGTCGGACACAACTGAAGTGACTTAGCAGCAGCATTAACCTCCTCACCCCACAAGCATTGCCCTATTTTTTTTTAGAAAAGAGCCCACAGCCATGCTAGTCAACAGCACTTAGAACAGCAGCTGGTCAGAGAAAGTTCTACACTTGAAATGATTTCTAGCTGGCAAAAAAAGAAAAACCCACAAATAATATTAGCTCAAGGACCTTTTATAGCATGCTTAAGCCCTGGACTTTACACCATTATCCAAAACTTCCCCCACCCCCGATTTCTTTTCTTTCTTTCTTTTTTTAACATTAAAGAGAATTTGTAGGAAGTTCTCTGGTGGTCCAGTGGTTAGGACTCTGAGCTTTCACTGCCACGGACATAGGTTCAATCCCTGGGTGGGGAACTAAGATTCTACAAATAAAAAGGATAGATTTTTTTTTTTAAAAAAAGCAAGTTATTGCTTATAAAAGAAAAGAGAAACTTGTAAAGAAATAAAGGCCAACAAATTAAACATTTTTTTTTCTAAATTAAACAAAATTTGTTCTAACATTTTGTCCTGATCTCTCTCATGCCTTTGAAATCAAGTGTGTTAGTATGATCACTCATGCTACATACTTGTCACTCAACGCTAGACCCTTAAGACCTCATTAATGCTTTGGATCAGGGTTTCTCTAACTTGAATGTTCATATGAATTACCTGGGAAGGGGCCTTATTAAGGTACAGATTGTGATTTCCAAAGACCTGGGAGAAGGCCTCTCATTGTCCATTTCTCACCCTCAGGCAATGCCTATGATGCTGCTCATGGACCAACCCCTGAACCAGGTGATTTGGTAGAGCAGAACAATTTCAATATATAGTGCTCACCTCGGAGCACTACAGTAAGATTTTTCTTCTCATTAAGATACAATTCACATATCATAAAATCCATTCTTTTACCATTCTATGTTTTTTTTTTTTTTTTTTTAGAGTTTTGCAAATGTCACCATAATTATTTTAGAACATTTTCATCACCTGAGGAAAAAACCCCAGGCCTATCAGTAGACTCCACCTTTACCCCCAAACCTCCCCCAGCCGCTGGCAACCAGGAACCTATTTTCTTTTCTCCAGATTTGTCATTTCTGGACATTTCATATAAGTGGAATCATGCAATCACGTGCTGCCTTTTTGTGTCTGGCTACCTTCATTTAGCATGACGTTTTCAAGGTACGTCCATGTTGTAGCATACGCCAGTACTTTGTTCTTTTTCTGGCTGGATGATAGTCCACTGTGTGGCTCGACCACATTTGGTCTTTCCATTCATCAGCTGCTGGACACTCTGGTTGCTCTCACCTTTTCACCATCGTGAATGCCGTCTTGGCATTTTTCAAGAGTGCAAAGGGGCCCCTGTTGTGTCACAGTCACTTGTTCATCCAAGAGTTGGTTACTGCTACTTTTTTTTTTTTTTGGCAGCATGCAAGGCATGTGGGATCTTAGTTCCCCAGCCAGAGATCAAACCAGCGGCCCCTGCAT